CACAACTCTAATTTTTCAAGTTTTAGAATTAATTGTCTTACAATTTCATTTTAATCACGTGATTCATTAATTCTGCTTGACCAAAAATAGACTAAACGTTTTGTCATGTCATTCAAATTGTAAGGCGGCTTTTGTGTTCACTTCCTTTCAAGAAGAATACGATTTTATTATGCGATTCGTTCACTAAGAATTGTTATTTGTAGCACAAAAGGTGTCTTTTATTTAGGACGTTCATAGACTTCTAAATAAAGAAGCAATCAAACATTCTTTATGTACATAAGCAACTGATAAATGGCATAATTAAAATGATTTTTCTGGTCCCAAACTTCTTGAAGTAATTACCAAAAAGACAAGATTTGTAACATCCCAAAAAATCTTTTATATGTCAACTTTTTTGACATCCGAAACACTTCTGACATTTTGTTAAAATTAATTTGACGGGGAACAAAAACCATGCGCTGTTTTAAAATTTATGAAATTCCCGAAATTTCATAAAACTTTAAATTAAAGACTTTTAAAAACGCAAAATCTAAAATCCAATCTTCATTAAAATCTTAAATCTAAACTCACCAAATTTCCTATTTCAATTCACGAATCTTCAATCCCAACTGAATCTCATTTGTGGTTATGAATATACACATGTGCTCTATGCTTTATTTAACATTGTCTTCTAATTGAGGGATTACAGCGTATAAGTGAATTCAAATGACGAAGATTAATTACAAGAATTATGAATTAATGAGAACTTTTATTGCTTTTCCTTGTAATTAAGGTTAAAGACGCAACATTTAGAGGCTTATGTTGGGGGAAGGTAATGTTTGAAGTGAGAAATATAAGGTTGTAAGAACTGGAAGGAAAAGAAAAATTGACAAAAATCAAAATTTTCCCAGAATTTCTAACCGATCTCCTTAAAAACTACTCACGTATTATTACACGTGTTCATTCCCACCTAACCAAACTTTCATATTCCACACACTTAATTTTCATCGTCTTCATTTCATTTTAATCCTCTCACAAAGACTTTGAGCCAAAGAACAACATGAAACTCATATAAATCATGTATCGATATGTTGAAATCATTATCCACACGTCGACATAACAAACATTTTTGTAACATGCCTGACTTTTATGAAAATATTTTTCTTTTCTACCCTATCACATATTTTTTTCCTACTAAGTTTATAGAATCATAAAAGAATTTTTATTTTAGCTTCCTTTATGGGGAATAAAAATATTTTCTATCGTTATTTAAAAAACTGTTTTTTTGGGAATATACATAATGCTATAAAAGAAAAATGTTATATGGAGGAAAAATTGCAAGCGCAATTAGGTAAGTGAAGCATGGAAATGAAAGTAATATTCAGTCATTTGATGAGGAGGAATGTAGGAAAGTTGGAAATGTTTTAAAGGGTTGATGAAAAGTAAAGCATTAATTTTGATTAAATTTGGCAAACCAAGATAGTTTCTTTTGTCAAGTAGCTGCCGCTTGAATAGCTTGGCTGTAGTGAGAAAAAATTATAATGTAATCTTAAATATTAGTCATGATTCTGGCTATCCTATTTCATCTTAAAACTTACTACACATTTCATACATCCCAAAAAACCATTTATTTTCTTCATCCTTATCGCTACCACATCATATGCTTCATCCAGACAAATAACAAACATTTTAACACTTTTCCTTTCTCGAAAATTTTCTATAAATCTGAAGCTATATCTGCGGTTACGACATTCAAAATAAAAATGGGGTAGAAATTTGACAATGTCGACTAGAGTGTTGTTTTCTTTATGAACAATGTTATTGTGTTGTTCATGTGATGGAAAAATGATTGGTTAGGGGTGGAATAAAAATTGCGTTGCAATCACTTTCATTTTTCACTTTGGCTTCCCCAATTCCGTTGGAAAATAAAGGCACGAGTTCTTTTTACGCTGTTCTACCTGTCTATTTTTGTTAAGCATGTTGAAAGTCATTGATCGTATAGATTTCAACTGACAGCTCAGAAAATGAGATTTTCTAACATTGTTGAGCTGTTTAGTGTCATTTAAAGATGCTTCAACGAAGCTATTGACATATTTATACAAGATGCAAAGATTTTATCAGCTTGAGAATGAAAACATTAATACAAATTCATTTGAGTTGTCACCATACTTAATATGCAACATAACATGTTGTTGTCACATATGAAATGTCATGCAGTTCCATCATAAAATCTCTACATACTATTCATATTCATACTAACACAAATTGGCTTATAATAAACACAAACATTTGCTATTTCTACAATTTATTTTCATATTCTTTAATTTAATCATTTTATCATACAAAAAAAATTCAATCAGGTTAGGGCCGGATGCAGAAAATTTTGGGGATCCCTGGAAAATTTGGACACATTGGTAATTTTTCAAATATTTAGGATAAACCTCCCTAATGCACATTTTAATATTCATAACCACAACGATAAAATAACAACAAATATAATGAGAAACCGCATCATCATGACATATCACATTCAATATTTTCGATTACAGCAGTTTATTAAGGCTTAATATGCAAATCACGCATGAGAGTACTTATTACACCATATTAAATATTGAATAAGCATCCTCACATCATTTGATGTTGAAATTGATTTCAATGGAAACGGATTAAATAATTTTTGAAGCACTTACATTTTATAATGAGAAATTGCTTCATAATTAGAACTCATCTGATGGAATATTTTCAATAATAAATTACTAACGAGGAAAAAATAAATAAAGAAATTGAAGAAAATTCATTAATTTCGATTCTTAGATGTTTGATGAATATTTGATTGGTATGGAATTTATTTGAGTAATTTTGTGCTCATTTTTTCGGTTTGAGGAAGTAAAAAATAGATGAATAAAACGAGTTTGGAGGAGCTGTTGAAGAATTTTAGTTTTTAAGACTAGTTTAATACTGAAAACTTTCCAAAAATCTTCAAAAATGAGCTAAAGTAGTTTGAAAATCAACAAAATTGAACAATTATCCAACAACTTGCTGATAATATATGCAGAATATCATCAAAACAGATAAACTCTTTCATGACCTTGATATCCTTATCATCAAAAGTTACAGACAACTAGAAAACACTATCATACCCTTCAGACACACTGTAAAACACAACCATCTCCTGAACAATTCATTCAAGCACATAAAAATGCATCTGAAAAAATCGATAAATGCCTTTTTCTGTCCTCATACTCTCCTACTATATCATATCATATGCCTGCATCCTATAATATTTATTAAGATAGTATAAATTTTATGGTAGAAAATTTGCATAAAAGTTCCAAGAGCACTCACAGCAATAAAATTAATTTTGAAATAAAATACATTTTTGTCCCATTGAGCATCTTGTGATAAGTGCCAACACATGCATCAGAGATGAATGGATTGTATTCCTTTTCATTTAAACGAGTCACAATGGATTCTCATTTTTTTTGAGACTTAGACATTAAAGAATCTTGAAGCACGTACGCATATCATCATCTGCTTTCATTTCATTGTTTTCGTCACAAGTTCCTTTTTTTTGATGGAGCGAATCACATGTGACTTTGCATACATAAGATGAATATTATTTTAAAAGTAAGCTTGATGACAAGGCAATTACAACCCCTTTTTATTAATATTTACAATCTAGTTCCGTCATTGATTCATGACGATATATCATGCGTTTGGGATAAAATATCGATAAAAATTAAATTTATTGAAAAATAATCCAAAAATAGCATTTTCACCGTGCGATGGGAATGTGATGTGTCATGTCACATGTGATATACAGAAAGTAAATCCGAATGCTCATTTCAAGCTTAAAATGGTGTTTTCATTTTCATGTTCATTCAAGCGATGAATTGGACTGAACAAGAGGATTAATAGCTGTAGACAATAAAGAGAATAGTTTTCTATAGTTTCACAACCCATTCAGTTTTGTTGTAGACTAAAGCATGAGAAAACAGTCAGTGTCAGATAACAGGAAGAACAGTCGTTCAAACAAATTTGCAGAAAATGCTGATAAATCGGTTTTGTCAAGGATTGTTGCTCGCTTTTTTTTGTTGCCGTTATAACTTCATTTCTTTTGAATGTAAAGTGTTGATAGCAATTTAATGAGCGTTGAAAAAACCTATTTTTGAAATTTTTTTTGTCCCAGTAAAGCATGTTGTAAAGCAATCAACTGAAATTAGTCTTCAAATTATTTAAAAAATTCAAAAAAATTTCAACATTGTTATGAACAAGGGTCTTTAATCTAAAAACAACGACAGTGTCAATTACAAAACTATTTCAAGTTCTTTTTCCTACTGCTCATTTCAAATATTGTTTTTCAAGTGCACTTGTTTGTAAGTGGCTGTTTACATCTACATACATTTAGCTATTTTTATTCCACTGTGCAATTTCAAATAAATTTTAGAATTGAAACAATTTGTCTGATTTATACGGTCATCCACTTATTAAGCCTAAATGTTGTAATAAAGTGCTTGCAATTCAACGTGGGTTGATATGGGATGTGATAAAGTGTATAATGTCAAGGTTGGGGCACTTAGAGTGCTGATTTCTGTGAGATTTTGATGAATTTTGCTTGCAGCTATCGTTCTAAATGTCTTATAGCTGCAACTTTGTAACATTAAAATGATTGCAAGAGTTTAGACAGTACATCCATAGATAATCACTAGTATCTAGCCTTCCATGAAACCCTATTTTTCCAAAAAGAGAGTAAGAATCCAATACATGAAAAATTTCACATTTACTCAACCCGGTTGAGGTCGTGTTGCATACTAAAGTGGATTAAACTGCTTAATGGGCGAAACATGTGATTTTAATTTTTTTATGATTTTCTCTCATCAAAAATGAGTATTTTTTTTCGGGGGTAATGTGAATGTCATTGTGTCAGTTGTTGTGAGATATTTGAAACGTGTGCATGAAATATTTCAATTTCCCTAAATTCATTTTTATTCTCACTCATTTTTTTTCATTTTCTCTTTTAGTGGAATCATGGACGCAACATCACAAGTGCTCGTTCCATCTCCATCATCTCCTGACAACGTGATCGTTTCACCGGAAACATTAAGTCATCATTCATCGCCAGCAAAAGGCTCAAGAATTTTACATTATGCAGCACAACATGTGACAATTGACGAGAGATTACCATCGTCACTTCGATCATCTCGTCAGCATTTGATTGATCATAGTCGAAGATCAACTCCATCATCACCACCTCCACCATTTCAATCTGGTCCAATGACACCGGCAGAATCATCACAAGCAATGGTGCCAACTAAGGCTTATGAATCTGAAACAGAAAGGTCTTTAATGTCACCGGCAACTGCCACATCAACAACTCAACATTTAGCCGTTTTATATGAAACTCATCATCATCTTCATCCAATTTTAACATCACCAATGCGTCGACCATCTCGATTACCTGACACAAGTCGTTTTCTTATGCAACAACAAGCTTTAGGAATGGCAACAACAGTAAAGGAGATTAAAGCGTAAGTTTAATTAAGATTTATTGTATAAGATAATTCCGTATTCAAAATTAAAGGAAGAAGAAAATTTTATCGACCAAAGCGAAATTGACAAAATTACCGTAAAAAATGTTTTGTTTCCTTTTACTTAATGTGTGCAGTCTTTTGATAGGTTTTTGGTAGTAAGTGACTATTTTGAGGTCATTTTGTAAACAGATTGGATCTAAACTAGTGTTTGTCAGTTTTGAATGCCTTTTGCATGCTAGATTTTCTAAAACATTACTGAGATGAACTATAATCGGAAAAATGGTACAAACGGAACAAACAATACAACCAACGGAACTAAATTCGCTTCAGACGCCTAAAACCCTTCATTTGCTTTCAACTATTCATGTTCAATTTCCGTTCCTTTTTATAGACTTGATGCATTTTGTACAACATTATCGGCTCTTTATGGAAAAATCCTAGTTGTAATGGGGTAAGTTGTAATGAATTCATAAACAGCATGAGATTAAATGTCTCACTTTTGTTTTTATTTTTCTCTCTCATTTAGCATTGCATTTCCAATGGCTGAAGTGATATCCACTTATATTCCACCTTCTTTTTATGAGGTAAGCAATATGTGTGAATAAATGAGCAAAGCAAAGAATAACATGGGGATTAAAAATAAGGGGTAAAAGTAGTCAAACGGCAAAAGGAAAATTTATTTCACATTTCATTCGTTTTATGTGAAAAGGAATTTTTTTAAAGGTGTAGGAAGTCAGGAACATAATTTATTACACATAAATGAAATCGTAGAATTTTAATTAATTATCATAAAGAATTTTATGCTGTTTTTATGAATTAGTAACATGAAAAGTAAAGATTTAGATTATTTTAAGCTTGTTTTACACCAATTTCTCTAATTTCTTCATATAAATGTCAACCTTTTCTCCAACTTATCAATTCTGATAACATCACAAAAAGTATAAAAAGAAATTCTTTTATAAAAACTTTTTGCTTCCCTTAAAAATGACAACAAACATATTCAAAAGTTTAGTTCATACAAAATTCATTGTATGTGTCATAATGCATGAGTAATACATTACTTTCGTATTTATATGCGATGGCTAAATTGAAAATATGAAAGCATTGTCGTGTATAGCAGAAGATGTCTTTTTGATACCCTTTGGATAAATTTGGTGGTATTTTTTAAACTTTTGAGCTTTTTTGATTACTTTGGAATTTTTATAATGTAAAGTACCTAATAAATTAAGGGTCAGAACCAACATGAACAGGAAAATGTCTTTATTTTCGATAAATTGTTCTCAGCATCTTAACAAGGATACACGTTATTTAACCAGCATAAATGTCACTCTGATATTCAAATCCTCTTTAACGTTCGCAATACAAAAATCCTTCCATGACATATCAAGTATCTCATATTCTCATTTCCAAATCCTCTTTCAACAATTGAAACAAAAAATGAATTGTTAACATCGCTACCTTTATAGAATGATTTGAATCGTGAATGTATGATTTTTTTTCATATTTTAAAAATTGTTCTCTGACAATTGCAACAATTTTATTCACGTTATTGAAATTGAGACTTGTTATGCAAGATGAAAAAATATTCTTTTGTTTCATTCTCGACTGAACAAATTAAGGCAATTTATTTCCTCGTTACGACAAACTCAACTCGATTGTTGATGGTTATATCTGATGACTTTTTATATCGGTTGTGACATTGACACTGGTCGTGAAGGATGAGTTACAACAAATATATAAATTGTGAGTCAAGTGGTCATGGAGAAAAAAATCGATGATGTCTATGCGTTCAGGGATGGATAACCTCACTGTTGATAGACAGAATTGAATATTTTGTAAGGCTATTTATAGGCTAGTGCGAACAGAAGTATCAGTGACATTGTATTTCGTTTCCTCGACAATACTAATTCCCAGAAATTCACTAATCACATAAAAACTTACACAACACTGCATTCAATCCAATAATAATAAAAAGTACAAAAAAGTCAATACTCAGGTCATCAGTCGAAGGCAAAATAATTTGCTCCGTTATGTCATTTATTCTTCTTCATATTCTTTTCATAACGATGCGAAAAAAAAAATTATTATAGAAATATAAAAGTTCTTCTTGTTCTTCATCATCATCCTGAATAAATTGGTAGCTTAGTGAAGTAATTTTTGCAGACAGTACATTCAATTGAAAAAGAAGAAAAGAGAAAGGAATTTTTTTTGTCTCTCCTGTGGGCTTACAACTTTTATGATGTGGTGTTTAAAAGGGAAAAATCTTAAAGTTTCTTTATATAAAATTCATGAAAAGATCCTGTTGATGTCCTTGTGGAGAAATTTGTTAGAATTTATCTGATTTTATGATGAATTGAACTTGAAAATTTGGTGTAAGTTCATTTGTAGCGTCGCTACTGAATGAAATTTGAAGAAAAGCGTAACTTTAATATACTGAAGCGTCAGTTTTTGATGAATTAAAGCGTTACTTTAAAATAAAGTGAAGTGTATTTTCATACAAATTAAAGCGTCACTTTAACATCAACTAAATCGCTGCTTCAGAAACATTTTTAATACAACACAAACATAAATTCTCTAAAAATATTCTTAAGGAAACAAATAAAGAACCCATTGCAAAAAAGTATTTCCGTCCTTTATAATTCATGTTATAGCTTTGTAGCAATTTTTTTTCTTCTCTTTAAATTCTAGACGCCTTTTGTTTGTTCAACACAAGAATGTCATTAAAATGGAAATTTTTCACTTCAACTTTCTATTTTCTTTTCTTTTCTTTTGTGTGTCGGCATTTTATTTTTTCATGACATATTCGTATGATAAAGTGGCCATTGCTATATTTGTTCAACACTTTTAGGAACATGATTCTAAGTGATGATGTTTTTATCGTTCTTTGCTATCTTTATTTGAGTTTTTTTTTTGGAGCTGGGATTTTTAAGTTTTTTGATGGAGATATAGTGAGATAAGTAAGATGACGCCTTATCTATAAATATGAGATCTTTTCCAGTAGTTGAGTGATAATAATTTCTTCAACTCAACCTTAAATTGCGATAAAGTTAAAATTTCCAAACCTCTCGATTCAATAAATTCGAGAATATAAAGTTATCAATAAGTTAATTTGAATACCTAACCTAACCTTACCTTCTTTCACTCATCCAAATGAAGCTTGATGGCAGTAAACATGGAAGTAATTTAAATATTTTTATTAACTTCGACCTTTTAGATCATCTGCTTCTAAATTTTTATGGTTATTTACTCTGCAAGTCAATTGGTATTTTAGGAGGTGAATTATTTTCATTCTGCTGAATTTTTGCACTCACGGAAGTTTCAATGTTATTTATTGACTTGACTTCTTTCATTTTTAAAGGTTTTTGTGACCGAGTAAATGTCATTGGCATAAATTTTGTGCTTCAGGATAATGGGAAATTTGGGTGTAAGTTGAAATTGAGTCACAATGAAAAGATTCTAATCAACTAAAGCGTTTCCGGGTTCTCTAAAATTTTACGTTTCAAAAGCTTCAATATTTAAAAAAATTGATCCTTTTTACAGATGCAGCCCTGATTCTAATCATGTAAAGAATTATACAGTCGCTTTTATTGATCCATTGGCTCTCAATCCACAATACAAAATTTTAAATTTTTTACAAATATTTATCAAGAATCCATATTAATTTCATCCATTCTCCTTTCAAGACATAGAATCCCCAAAAAATATTCCAATTAAAAATTTTAAATTGAGTTTATCAAAAAATTTATCCCGACAAATTTTCTGGTTTATTTATAAAATAATGCATAAAAGTATCTACGTGAAAATATTTTTAAAGTGTCTCGGGGGATTGAAAGACACACACAATAAGTTCTCATTAACAAGGTTTCTCAACAGCTTCGTTATTTATAATTTACATTTAATGTCTTCATTATTTTTGAATGTCTTCAATCTTTGGCATTTTGAATTTAAATTCAGAAAAGATTTGGAATGAATATTAAGATGGAAGGAAGTTGTTAATATGGGAAAAGTAGGGATAATGTGAGGATTTTTCACAGCTTTAAAGGAATTTTGAATTTTGGGGATTTTTTTGTCTTCAATATTTTTTTATATTTTTGATAAAATTTCATAAAAATTAAACAGTAAAGCACAAGTATCCAAAATATTCATTCAAATTTATTTATTCATTCATAAAATATTCTCATAAAATTCCTAATTTTTTATCTTCTCCGTCTTTTATTTTTCAGGGTTTTTATTTATATTTATATATTGGCAGTATGTTATTCTTGTTATTTATGTATGCAACTTTATTGTGGGGAAACAAACCAGTAATTCCAATGACAAGTAAGTACATCAATTGTTATGTTCGATTGTTTTACATTTTTTTGACATTAAACGATTCTCGATTGCTTGCTAAGTGGTTGAATGCTGTAAGAATAACAAAATTGTTTTAATATTTTAATAAAATGTAAAGTTGAAATTTTCTTTGAAGGATTTAAAAATTGTTTTGAATTCAACACAGGAAACTACAAAATTTTGTGACACTTTAAAGCTAGCATTCACATTCTTTTATAGAATAAACTTGTTCTTATATTTCAAAGAATTGAAAAGTATTCAATAGATGTCATTTTATTTCTGGAGTTGAATTCTATTAATTCTTGTAGAAGTTTAAAAATAAAGTTTTGGCTTTGTTTTGTTTCTGGAAAAAATAATCTCAAATTGAATAGAAGTTGTAAAGAATGAAAATTACAAATTTTTAATGAAATGAAAAATCCAGACATCTGAAATGAAATTCAGAATTATCTGAATTCACCCTTAAAGCACAATTCCGATTCAATTTTACAAATTTTTTAAATCATAATTCAATTATATCCTTAGGGGCTGTTCACTTATTACGTAACGCGAAAAAATGACTTCTTGGACCCCCCCCCCCTCGTAACAAAATTTGTATGAAAAAAAAATTTCCTTGTCTGAACCGTAACAAAATCTTAGACCCCCCCTCCCCCTAAAAGCGTTACGTAATAAGTGAATGGCCCCTTATGTATTTAATCATTTAAAATCCATATCCACACTCATGGACAGTGAAACAAATACCATTAAAAAAGTCAACATTAAAACATGCTGACGAGACCGTAATATCTGGAAAATAAAATCTGTCTGAGTGATGAGCAAACAAACATCAACAAAAATGAGAATTGAAAATTTAAATATTCAGGAAATGATTTTTCTGTAATTTAATTAAATTACCTTTATTTTTTTCTTCACAGCTACAACAGCAACAACAAAAAGTTCTTCATCACGTCAGATGAACTCATCAACATCATCCGATAGTGGAGACCAATCAGATCAGGAAGAATCAAGTGAAAGTCCTGAAGAGAAGCGCAAGCCGTCATCAAAAACTATTGTGTCAATGCGAAGACCGTCTGTGCTTGCATCAGCCGCAATGGGAACTCAACATTATGGAAGTTTCTATTTAAGAATGGGAGCTGTTGGTAAGTTGATTTGAAATTCATTTTATGACTAAATAATGAGCTTTTGAGGAACTTTTTGCTACAATTTAAATTTTCCTTTTTAAAAGTTTGAAAATATGAAAAAAAAAATCTTGAGTTTTGAAAAACTTATGAAAAAGTAGTCAGAAAAACTTTCTCATTCGCAAAAAAGCTTTCCGTACAATTATGGAAATTTCATACCACATGTGAAAGCTTAATTTAAATTTGATTACATGAAAGTTTTAGAAAGAGAAAAATATTTGCTCATTTTAAAGTTTTTAGAGCATGTCTACATGAAAATGATTGGAAACAAGAAAAGTTTCTCGTTGAGTTTTTAAGTTGGATGTAGATGAGAGCTTGTAAAGGATAAAGATAATTATAATAAATTTGCAGGTGAATAAGTTTTCAAACTAACATTCAAAGGATTAAATGAAATTTTAATAGATTGATCTGGGTTGGAATTAATGTCAGAAAAGTTAAAATCAATAGTTAAGTGTTGGCCTAGTGTAGGCGAAGTCCATTCAATGATAAAATTTAAATGATAAGCTTTTAAAAATAGCACAGTTATTAGCAAAAAGGTTTTCTTCTTATTTTTACACCTAATTAGTCTAATATCTTCTAATTACGTATCCATGGTACTCTTGCATGCTATTTTCGTTCATTTCATCTTAAAAGAAATTTCAGCAATCTCATTTGTCGAATAAATCTTATGCAAGCTTTCAAAGTCTCAAATCATCTTTTTTTCCCATTTGTTGAACATTATTCGATGATTGATGACTGCCTGCAAGCATTTTTTATGACAGAAATGCTCCACAAACTTTAACTAAGCCAATGAACTCTCAATGACAACAAATTTTTCATATTTAAAACTTGATTCTGATTTCTATAGAAATAGACGTGCCTGAGAACAAAAAAGGTATTACATAAAATACAAATAAATTCTTGAATCTCAGTTGGAAGTCATTAAGGAAGCAATTTATTCGGAAATTCAATCTTTTATTGTATTTTTTTGACGTGATTTTCAATTCTTAATGTAGAAAAATAATTTATGATGAAAGCTTTTTTATTGAAAATGAGGAAAAATGTGAAGGAAAATAAACTTTCAGGAATTTTCTGTTGAAAAGGAAGTAATGAGAAATAATAAAATTGAATGACATAAGCGCATTTTCAGATTTGGTCAATGAGCTTCAGTGTTTTTGAAACATTCGAACAGAATCATTTCAGCCAGACAGTCAGTCATCTTTAAAACCTCAAACACATCACATTAAAACCATCAGAAAAACGCTTTAGAGAAAAAGTATCAAAATATTTATCCAAAATTAAAAGGAATCCTTTATTCATGAAAATGTTACCTACAAAAGCAATACCTGAGAGCACTCAACAGTAAAACAAAAGGAACAAAAAATATTTTTGTGCTTTCAAAAAAGCCTTTTTTATCGTTGGTTTCAATTTCTGTTTATTTTGTGTACGAGAAAATAGAATTCTTACTTGAGGGTAAAGTGCTTGATTATCTTTACAGATAGAATTAAATTCTTATTGTATCTCAACCATTAGATGAGTCTACGAATCAGAAATTATGTCATGAAAACAGCATTAAACTTATTTTTTCTCTTCTGCATGGTCTTGTAAACATGCCAAATAGAGAAAATTTCTGCTTAATGAGCACCGCAAACTTTTTCATTTCTCAATTCATTATCGCATTTCTGCTGAGGAGCTATAAAGGGAAATTTTGTTAGAATTTATTTTAATGTTACTTGAGATTTAATTACGAGAGAATTTCACTTAAACTTTTTCTCAAGGGGCAATAGCCTTGCTGCAAAAAAAAGGTCGAATCCACAAGACAGAAGAACTTTTTCAATTCCCCCACATCAAAATCAGACGAAAAAGAATTAATTATCATCAATTTTTTTTTTGTCTTATTCTTATTTAATTTCAGCATTCGGAATTGGAAGTATGATTTATTCTGGACTTGAATTTGGCCAGTATTTTGAGCTTGAGAGAGATACGAAATGCCACAATGTGCTGCTTGCTCTCACGCCTGCTACAAGAATGGCCTTCATTTTCATTCAAATGTATTTCATTTTCTTAAATAATGAGGTGAGTTGGACATAGAATATTAATGAGTATTTTTTGTTATTATGCATTAAGTGGTCGTGCGACTGCTACTGGTTGCTGGTTTATTGATAATTTATCATGTTGCTATGGCTGGTGCTGTCTATGAGTTTGTTTTAGGTTTTCATGAGTCTTTTTGCTGCTCTTCTATTGACAGTCTACCTCCTTAGACCTCCAACCAGCCTCTGTTTAGTTTTTCTATAAATTCCTCATCCTTTTAGACTAATTTCACAAACCATTTGTCTACTGCTTTCTCCTTCCATTTATCCAATTTTCCTGATTATCAAGCTTATGATTTATGAATTGCATGATGAAATATAAATCGCAATCATCGCATGAAGACATATTGATGAGCAAATCCAAATCGAAATTTATCACTTCGTCACGTTTCAATCCGGAACATTCAATTCAATATTATTATTATTTATATTTTTTCTTCTTCTACATTTCTTTATTCTAACAGCAAATCAAAGTTTATCGTTATAAGATGCTTGCGCGTTTTGGTTTAATGCACATGATCGGAACAAATCTCTCTGTGTGGTTCAGTGTACTGATTCAGGAGACAAAACACGAGATTTTGACATTTTATGATCCGGAAAATCGAACACTAAAGATATCGCATCGATTAGGTGAGTTTTATGGATTCAAAGTAGTTAAAATTGTTTTTTTTTGAGAGCAAGGGGTGGAAAGTAAAATAAGGGAACAAAACAGGTATTGATGGACTTTACTCAATAAAAGACAATCATAGCTTGGGGCGGATGTTCAAACTCAACTTAAACCTACGAAGCAACCTACTAAAATTAAGATCATCTCAAATAAACTTACTTTTCTTCCCAAAAATGTGTTCATCCCTTTCCTATTTCAACTAGATTGCCTAAACAATAAACTTTTTGTTATGAATTTTTAATATTAAGTGCTATGCTACAAATAAAATATTATAATCCGGATGCTATAAAATTTTTTCTAATATTTAAAAGCACGAGCTAGAAATTTTATTAGATGATATTTTTTATGTTCTTCCTTATTGACATGATTTATCGACTTGATTTATTGAAAACTTTAGCACACTCAGCAAATTTTTGAGATTCTTTTGTGGGGTGTTTCAACATCCCCTAGACATGACTATAAGTGCTTCCACTCGAAGACATTCTTTCGCATTGATAAAAAGTTTTTCACTTTAAAATTGGAATAAATGAAGCTGAAAATGACGTCTGATAAACTTTTTATCGACTGAATAGGAATTTTTTAAGTTTCCTGAAGTTGAAAAGTTTGACATTAAATTGGAATAATGATGAAAAATTGGATTAAGGTGCTATGACCTTTTTGAAATTGAATTATTGATCCAATAAGGTTAATGAGATTAATATTGATGACTGTATGGCTAAATTTTTGGTTGTATGAATAAGGGGTGGCTTACAAATGATGTCTATCAATAAATTTATAAAAGTGACAATACTTATCATCTATTTAATGGACTATCATACCAATAGGGGGCCGTTCACTTATTACGTTCGCATTTTAGGGGGGGTTGAAAATTTGTAACATAGGGGGGGGGGGGGGACAAGAAGTATGTAACGTTCCAGACTCTAGACCTCGTTTTCTTATATCCACCCCTTGAATAATGATCTACATAAATTTATCAACCGTTAAACTTTTAACAATAATTTAATCTAACGGATTTTTGTTTTCTATTTTAAAATTTGTTGCCCTTGAAGTTGGATACGAGGAAAAACTTTTTGGTAAATTATTTGTGTCTTAATGTTTTCTTTTTGAAATTTTGACTGTTATAATTTTATTTAAACTGGAAGTTGAAAAGTGAATTTTTTTTAAATTTAAAGCCAATTTCAAGTTGGACTTTTTGAATTTCAAAAATCCGTTAAAAAATCGTCTGAAAGTAAAAATCGAAATTATTATTTAATTTGTAATTACCATCCATCTAGGTAACAAAGGAGCAGTACACGCCCTAACAGATACTCATCTTCGAGTGGCACGCGGCCTAAAAGGACCCCACAACATCTTCGAATGCCGTCGCTCAAATATTCTTGGAAATCTCGTTCAAGATGCATCTCCATTCCTTTTTCCATGCACAATTGAATACTCTTTAATATGTGCTGCAATACTTTATGTCATGTGGCGTAACATAAGTCGACCGGAACAAGAGAATTTAGAAGTCACGCGACAAGAATTGCATCCATTTAAAAGATCCCCACATCATTATTCAGTCGATTGTGCAAATGCACATAAGGGATTGTTTGTTGGCATTTTAATACTCGTCCTGACCATCATATCCTTGATACTCTTCTTCGTGCTCATTTCGAAGGAAGAATTTACAAACTTTGCAGTAACGGAAGTAAATATTTGCGAATTAACATTATATGCTACGACTACAGCAGCAACACTTGTCGGGATGGTGCAAGTGCGCGCCCTTCATTATGATGCATCACGAAGTTTCAGTTTAGATGACATTCTCCTTGTTGGCGCTCAGTCTGGGTCATTTTTATACAGCACATTTACAATTATTGGTGCACATTTGACATTGAAAAAGAATACAATTCTCATTCTCATTACCGCATTGGCATCGCTCATTGAAACCGCATTTCAGACAATGTTTATACTTGATGCTAGTCGGCGGTCTGCAGCGACGCCAGAGCATGTAAGGAAGAAGCCAGGAAGGGAAATTGTAACTTTTTTGCTCGTGTCAAATTTAGGTGAGGATTTAGTTGATGAATTTTGAAATGGGATTGTTTGGTTTGCCACAATTACGATAAATCCCCTTTCAAAATCACGTCACGCAGACACCTAACCCAGCAATTATGACATTAATATGTATATCTCTATAATATCAATTTAAAACCAGCTATGTGGGCAATAAACACGCTTGAAAAAAGCCGTGCTGAAAGTCATCCATTACAGTTGCATTTCTATGGTGTGTGGGCATGGACAATCATCACGCATGTTTCAATGCCATTAGGTAAATTTCCACTGATTCACTTACTGCAATTTACTAACATAAAAATCATATATTTAATTCACAGCAATTTTCTATCGATTCCACAGCACCGTGTGTTTATGTGACATATGGAAGCGTGCATGGAAAATGAAGCCAGCTTACATGTAAACTCAATGACACTAGTTATCAGCCAAAGATAAATGCGCTTCTAGTTATTTTTTACATTTTAAAATAAAATTGTTCATTATTAAAAAATTAATTAAGGGAAAAAAATCATGCAAAAAATAAAAGAAAATTGAGAAAAAAAAATAATTTTAAAATGTTTTGAAGCAAACGACACTTCAAGTCCTTAATAAATGATAATGTTGAGTACCTTTCATCTTTTTCTACTCCGTTTAATCACTTTTTGATGAAAATTTCTTTGTTTTTTAAATGTTTATAAGAAAATTGTGTTCATCAAATTAAGAAAATTAGGAAAATAATTTTTACTCGAATGAAAACATGAACTGATTGGCTATTAAATAAGTTTATGTAGGTATGGATATGGGACTAGTGGACTGGAGGATATTGATGTGGTAAAACCGTAGGCAAGTTCAAAAGGAATTAAAATTTTGAAGAAAAAAAATCCTTACTCGAATTAAGCAGCTACTAAAATTCCAAAGGTAGTTTTATTCATCCCACAAAATTATTCTTAACCTGCCTAGAGCCAAACCACACATCTATCTAGAGAAGTCCACTACAGCCCATACAAATGATAATATTACCAAATTCTATACAATGTGCAATAAACAAAAGAAATGAAAATGTCCTGAAATAAAAATGATAATTTATCTTCTGTGAAATCTCTCACATAACCATTAAAAGAAAGAAACATAAATAAATGGGATCAATTTTTTATCCTCACACATTTTTTATCATCAAAAATTCTCGCTTTAAAAAATATTTATGATAAAAAATTCAATTTATTTCTTCTTAGATAGATATTGTATAATGGATCATAATATACAACAAAAAATGAATTTAGACATAATATTGAGAAATTCGTAAATATGGTAGACATGGATAGTAAAGTTGTGGACAGTTAAACTTCCTTTGGCGTTGTTTTGTCAGAATTATTTGGAAATTTTATTGGCTTCTTGAATAACTTTTTAATATTAAAGTCAAAAAATCGACAATCAAAATTAAACTCCCACAAAATCTAGCAAAGTTCTTCTATAGGGGTCGTCCACTTATGACGTCCGAATTGATCGGTCATTTTTCAAAAAAGAATAATGGATTTTCAGGAATTTTTTTTGTTCTTTTCTTCCTGACCCCTCTCCTCTGGACGTCATGGGTGAACTACTCAAAGACCTTTCCGCTTTAATGCTCAAAAGCTCATCAAAAACAATTTTTCTTCTGCACGAACAATTTTTTATCTATTCAATTTTTTTATCGTAAAGTTATTGTGGAAAAAATCCCCAAGCAGATAACTTCATCATTTTTCCGAGCATAAAAAATTTTTTTTGTGGATTTATTTTATCCAAAATATTGAGACGGAAGAAAAATTTATAAAAATATATTTTTTTGTTTCCTTAAAATTTTCTAATTAAATATCCCATTGAGATTGGAGATTCATCTTTTGGGAGGTCCTTGTGCTGATTTTTTTTCTTTTTGGGTAATTTTAAAAATTGAGTTTTTCTATCAACGTTCCAATGTTTGCCGCCTCCCCCTCTGAATTTTCTTAGTACCAAAACCAGAGAAGGGTCTGTTCTCTATACAACCAGCTATACCTGGCTTTAAAAAATCATAATAAAAAAAATCTGACAAAATCAACGCCATAGCAACAGCAATCAGTAGAGACTGACTTTAACAGAAAATTAAATCAGGAAAATATCTTCTTTAAAGACTTTTTCCACATAGAGAATCCTTGTATTTAGCAGAACATAGCAAATGAACACATGCACACAGAAAATAAATGAAAGCACAAAGCGGTAGACTGAAAAATTGAATTGCAAGAAGCGACAAAACGAATTTTGGCAAAAAGCTATTTTTATTTCTTTTTTTTTTTGGTTATCTCACGAAACAGCAACTGACAAAGAATGACTTGTCATCAAATTAGATAGACGCAAAAAGGTTAATTGAATTTCTTCATTTATGATGCTTGTTGTTTGGCATAAATGGAAGAGTTGAATAGGAATTTAGAATGTCAAAGGTTTTATTTGAAATAATAATTTGATATTTTGGAATATTTAACTATTACAAGAAGAACAGTCAAAGGTTTGTTGCATTTTATTCACTTTTGTTGAATTCTGAATTTATTATTGATTGACCTGTGTATCGTTGACTCTGTGGTGTGATCAACACTGATCCTGACCGTAAAACATAGCTATGTCATTTCGATAAATACACAAAATCTTATTAAGCCAATAAAATTGATTATGAATTCAATTTCATTTTCATAATATTCCACAATATTGGTGTGTTTCACTTTTACAACGTTCCATAATTTCAAGAGTGTTTCAAAATGTTTTCCAATTCTCAAACAAAGCTAATGTTTTTTGAAATAAGAAAACTTAACATTAAACAAAATGAGTTCTTTTCTGAAAAACTATAATCTTTCAAAAAAGAACAAATTTAAGCAAAAAATATTTGTCAGCGGTGGGATTCGAACCCACGCCTTCAGAAGAAGACTAGAACACTCAGACTGATTTTCATATAACTTTCGTTACTAATCAGAAGTTTGCACTTGAGTCTAGCGCCTTAGACCGCTCGGCCACACTGACATTGATATTTGATTTTGGCGCTGGGTTCAATAAAAACACAAAATAAAATTATTTTTGTCATATCGTAAAATTCTTGTGTGCGTTTGGGAAGATGAATTGAAAATTTGTGACAAAAATAAACACGAGAGAAAAAATAAAAATATTCAACTGTGAAAAAAATTATTTTGAACGAGTTTAAGTAAAATTTATTATTTTATTCACGTCTATCGGTAAATTAGCTGGCAAACAAGAATGTCTAGATGCTTAAAATTAACATTGTGAGTCAATAGACCATATCATTAGGTTTTCATTTCCCCTCTCTCTAAATAATCGCTTCATCTAATCTATTAAAAATCATAAATCATATTTAATTTTTCTACTGTCTCAATGAATGAAAATTGATAATGCGGGATGAGTGTGTACATTTTAAATACGATAATAGGAAGCAAGATAGAGGCTAATGAATGAAATGAAGTTCATGTTCAAGTTCATGAATCGTATGTATAACATTGATAATACTGCCAATAAAAAAATAAATGTCATAACAACTGTGAAAGATGTCATAGAAAAATAATAACAAAATTTTTATGTCTCTGAAATTGACCCAAATTTTGGGAGATAATTTTTTATTAACATAAATTAATTTTTTTATTGGGATGAATTTTATATTCATTGGGATCTTTCTGCTAAAGTTTGTGTCAGTCTGTTCAGACACTTAACATTTTAAAATACTAGTCGTTGACGGTTAATTAATATTAAATGGTAAACGTAATATTCTATTATGGGGTCTTCTGACACGTTTTGGTGTGGATCAAATCAACATATGAGTCGTTTATAAAACATTCAAAAATTACCATTACACGCATTTGATCTATTACTAGTTTCTAGGGCTATCTGAAATACAATGTCCTACATATAGTCAGAGAAGATTACCAAGGGAAGTCCTAGAAACCAGTCCTTTGTATAATTCGGGATATAAATACTCTGTACTCAAATATTAATCAGAAGATTGTCCAACTTTAGAACCAAATATGTTGAATTTTTTTAAAATGTATCAAAAAATTCATGTAAACGTCATTGTTGACACAAGAAGGAAGTAACTCAATAGTTCTATACCCATCAATCATTTATCAATTTTTACTGTGAAATATAATCGAAAAGAACAAAAATCTTTTGAATAGACATTTTTGGAAAGTAAATGAATGCTGTTGGCTTAAAATTTGGCAACATCTTTTTAAGTTTCCGCTTCAGTTTCATTAATTTTATCAAAGCATAAAAAAGCAGGTTCTATTTATCATAAGTGACAGTCCATAAAATTTCACAAAAACCAGAAATCAAACCATAAAGATTTTTTTAATATAAAAAATTTACAAATTTTTTCACGATTTTATCAAAAAAAAATTCTTCAATTTATCATCGAATAACAATAAACAATCCAGAAAATGACAGCTTACAGCACTCATTTGTCAACCAGATCAACTTTCTTTGATGAAAACAAAAAAGATAATTAATTACCGACTTTTTAAAAACCTCATTTTAATTATGCAGCATTTATGGTTATGGTTGCAATGAACATTTTTTTAAGCTTGCCAACATTTAATTGAAAAGCTACAAAATCACAATGGAATGAAAATAAAGAGAATTAAAAAAATTGACCCTTGCAAGTGATTAATTATTTAATTAAACATAAAGTTTTTTTCACATGTCCGTAAATGTTTATGTAGCGTTTTTCGAGTCTCGTTTGTGTTTGCAGCATTTTCATTTAAATTTAATCGATTGACTTGCTGGAAGTTGGAAGCGAATTTCAAAAATTTAAAAATATAAATTCTTTAAAATTGTTTTCAAGTTTTAATATTTTAACTTATTTTAAAATTGCTTTGAAAATTTTTGACATAACTTCTATTATATTTGCCTCAAAATTTACTCAGTAGACACAAAAAACACAAAACTTCGTATGAATGAGAGATGCGAAAAAATACCAAAAGTTATAAAACACAGGCAAATAAAATTCATCAAGCTGCATTTCCGATCGTAAAAACATTCACGAAATCTCTCAAAACAATATGAAATGCATCTCTCGACACACAGCGAATAAAGTCAAAAGAATAACAACAATTACGGCTGCGATATGTTGGTTTTTTTTTTGTTAGAATCAATTTATTTATTCCACATGTTATTTAATTTAATTGATATGTTAATTATTGTAATACAGCAACAAAAAGCGGAAAGATGGATGATGATTAAAACAATAATAAAATGATATAAAAATTCAATTTGCTGTTTTATTTTTTGGTAGATTTAAAAGCAATAAAAGATAATATATATTTTATTTCAGACTACACCTGACTAGATTTCATGAATAAAATGCAAATTGTCGATTTAGATGCAATTCGTGATGCAATTAATCAGCAATTAAATAGATGAATAGAATCGCTGTGCATATAAAAAATTGAATGAATAATAAAAAATAATTGATTTTTTATTTCCATGCTTAATTCAATGAATTAAGTCATAGTGAGGTAGAGGTTTATGCAAAAATTAAGTCATATGCTCAGAAATTTGATTTTTATGTCCAAATAAATTTTAAGTAAGGAAGGGTTCTCAAATAAAAATTCCCCAAAAAATTTATGAAAACTATTCATGAAGAAGAAGGTCCATGCATCATCCAAAGGTATCACATCAAAAAAAACCCCTAAACATTCATTCTTCTACATTATTTCTTCATTTTTATTATTCTCGTAGGTCATGGCATTTCGTAATACATTTTTCGAGTTGTAAGTTTTCTTCATATCATAAATAAACAATATTGGCATGACAGGTTACGCACACTGATACTGTGTACATAAAATTTATCTATATATTGACATTGTAGAAGATGAAAATGCTCTTAGTATGGAAAGATAATCATAAATTATTTATTTTTACATAAATAAAAATATTTTATGAACTTTCAGTGGTCTCGTTAAATAATATCATGCATCATCCTTCTTATTTTTATATTATTGATATCGTGCAGAGGTGGCGTTTTAGGCTTTTGATTGTTTTGTCAATTTAAATAGATTGAATTAATTTTTTAAGAAGTTTTTATCTTTATTAGCTAAATTCAATACAATCTGTCGAAAAATGTATCTTGAGAAAAAATTATACACTTAAAGTCTCAATCCAATTTAAATGATTTTTCCAAGTCAAGCCTACTCTGCATTAATAAATAAGATATCCATCAATTTATTACATAAACATTTGAACGGAGAAATGTTATAAAATATTTGAAAATATTATGACAGTACCGGAAAAAAATGAAAATTTCTCTGCTGCTTACTACTAAAATGAACATATCAAAATCATTTATTTTATAGCTTTTCTGTAATTGCGCGTGTAAATTATGTTTTAAGTCTTAAAATATCATTTTCAAATTAAATTTATCAGTGAATGACCTCAAAGAAAAACAATGATTACAGCTGAAGTGTCAAAGTTAAAGTTTAGGGAACACCGAAAGATTAGATTTATTAAATAATTGTAACTGACTTAAAATAAAGGCAATTACTTATTTGACTAAAGTAGACCTTAATCTCCACACGTGTCAAATGTGTTTACTATTTTTAAATTTACGCAACCTAATCTTATCACTATTAGCAATATAAAGACAATAAAAGTCAACTAAAATAATTTTTTATCCGGTCTTCATGCCTTAGTTTGAATTACGATTGTTGAATTTTTAAGAGGTCACTCATTTATTAAGGAACTCTAAGTAAACTTAAACAAGAAAAAAAAAATAATATGTAAGGCTTGAAAATTTGCTTTATGTGTTACTTAATAAATAGACGCCCCTAAGTGACTAGATTATAATTTACAATAGTCTTCCAAGAAATTTGATAATCACATGATAACGTGGTTTAATGCGTTACGAACTTATATAAAATGAATTAAGGTAAATACCATTTTTTCTTGGTTAAATGTTATCGAGTTGTTTAGTAGTATAGGATATGAGAATCCAAAAGAGAGGCAAAGTAAATTTTTGTTAAAAGTTGAAGCAAATTTATTTTTGAAGTTAGTGTTTCTTAGCTTTTATGCCAAAGATATTCTTGGTGTAAAATATTTAGGAGTAATTTGGTGCAAATTAAAACAACGAATTATATCAACAAGAGTTGGTTTTATTTCCATAACGACACCATTCTTTAATGACATTCATAAAAGCTGTTCCAGGGCCAGGCCCTCTGAAATCACTACGACCAAATATTTTGTAATCTTGTGACAATTTTCCCAAAGCCATTGCATCATCAAACACTTTGATAATTGCATTTAGAATTGCTTGGTTTGGTGGGACGTTGTCAAAAGTTCCAATTACGCCTACACCGATTGACAAAGAATTTAAACCGATGTGATGTGAGCCCCAATAGTCAAAACCTCTTCCTTCAAATGCATAACCTAACAGGAATTCAAAAAAAAAATTAAATTGTAAGTTAAACATTTAAGACCTTACCATCTCCACCAAAGAACACATTATATAAAATATCTGACCAAGTATTGTTAAAGCTCGTTTTTTGAAGGTTTCTTCCAGAAGTTTTACATACCTCCTGCGAATAAACTACATAGTTTTCTATAAAATTATTAATTTCAAGTATTAATAATTACAAGACTAGAACATAAAGATGATGCTGTGTGACCTATTACAACCCAATTCATTGGTCTAGTTTCAAATATGTTTGGGGGATCTTTGCGACTTTGAGCATTCCATTCTTCTCTCCTGTATATTTTGTACACTGAAATTTATTTGCCATAAAAACTACATTAAATTGTGATTAGATACAGAAGATGCTCACATGGTCGAAAATGATCAAACTTTTCAATTTCTGTATTTAATGCATATGCTTTTATAGGATTATACTTCAAATCATCTTGCAAAACAATTATGTAGTCTTCTGCAATTGATCCTTTCTTCTTGTAAAAATCTACAAATTCTGCCAATAAACTAATCTGTGATGAGTCTGGTGCAATTGCTTGATAATTTCCAATAAATGCAATACAAATTCCGATGCTGTTATATTCTGTAGCATCTAAATTGGCTGTATGTTGTCCTTGATATTCAATTCCACGACCTTCATAAATTCTACCATCACCACCAATGAGATAGTTGTAAGGAATATCATCAAGATTAGAATTTTGAGTTTGCATTGACTTAACAGTTGAGATGCAGTTAGTCTTGAATTGTTCAGATAAAAAACTGAAATAATTGTAAAATAACGCTGATTTTCTTTTTTTATTTTAGATACCTCATTAACACAAAACTGTCCACGAGTATGACCAATGATAATTCTTTTGATAGGCATGATTAATTTTGGAACCAATAATCTGTTAAAATCGCCTGCATTCCACTGCTCACGAGAAATAATTCGCGCCTCAAAATCATTAGGTGATATAGTTGTGATATCAGAATTTTTTGTTGATTCTGAAAAATAGAGAATTTATAAATTCATTATGTAACATTTTATATATTTAAGAAGTCATTACCGGTGGCAAAATTCTTATCAAATCGGAATGCATAATAAACACTCACAGAAACGGCGACGCCAATTAAAACGATTGCAATTGTTATTGATAAAATCCAGTAATTTCTACGTGACATACATTTTTCATTATATTCGGATGCTTCAAACTTAGATGAACTGATTGAACTTCTTAGACTTTCAATTGAATCTGAAAAAAAATAACTTTTGAAATATTCAACAAAAATTCAGGTATCATTTACTGGTTTTAGGCGAATGATGATGAATATTATAAATCACATTTACAACATGAATTCCTTCACTTTCTTCAAACTTTATATTTGGTACGCTTACAGGCAAAACTTTTGGTTTATTTGCCAGTTTTCTAGTCAAATCTTTATATTGCCGATTAATATATTCAACAGCTTCTGAGCTATCAATTGTTGAAGAAACTGACATTTTGCTTTAATTTTTTATAATGATTGATGCAATTTAATTGAGAGTCCTCTGAATACTGAAGATTTTTTAAAAAATTATATTTAGCCTAATCTAATCGTTGCGAATTGTAGAGTGATAAAATTAATTGTTTCTAACTAGAGCAAACGTAAAGAAAAATTGTTTAAAAAATTATTTTTCAGTAATGTTTATTGTTTTGCTGCATGAACTAAGTTCGAGTATTCAGGATAAAAAAATCCATTAAACACTAGTAAATTAACACTCGTTATTTTTTAAACAACATCATTATAAAATTATAGATCATGTATTATCAACAAGAACCAGTTCTGTTTCCATAGTGACACCATTCTTTAATAATGTTCATAAAAGCTGCTCCAGGACCAGGACCTCCAAAATCAGTTCGACCAAATATTTTATAATCCTCCTTTATTTTTCCCAATGCCATTGTATCGTCAAAAACTTGAAGCATCGCATCAATAATTGCTTGATTTGGTGGAACAGAATGAAAGCTTCCCATCACACCTACACCGATGGCTTTGTCATTTAATTTAGAATCATGTGATCCCCAGTTATCAAATCCTCGTCCTTCAAATGTAAATCCTGGAATTACATTGTTGAACATTTAATTCTATCTTGTTTTTCTTATGACTGCATATCGTCTTACCATCCCCACCAAAAAATACGTTGTATAAAATGTCTGACCAACCTCTTGAGAAACTGTAGCTTTGAATATCTCTTGCTAGATATTTGCAATCATCCTGTAAAAATAATTATTATATTCAGATCAAATGATAAAAATAAAATATTTAACTAAGTTCGTGCATAAAATGTCATCTGTATGACCAATCAAAAACCAGTTTAAAGTTCTTCCGAATTTAGTGGGTAAATCTGTTCGATTTTGAGCTTCCCACTCTTCTCTTCGATGTATTTTGAATACTAAAATTCAAATTTTTATTCACAAGTCAATTTAAATGTCCTTACAAAGATACTTACATGGTCGAAAATGATCTAGCTTTTTAATTTCTGTATTTAATGCATTTGCTTTAACAGGAAAATACTTTAAATCATCTTGCAAAACAACTATGTAGTCATCTGCAATTGATCCTTTCTCCTTATAAAAATCTATAAATTCTGTCAATAAACTAATCTGTGATGAGTTTGGTGCTATTGATTGATAATTTCCAATAAATGCAATACAAATTCCAATGCTGTTATATTCTGTTGCATCTAAATTGCTTGTATGTTGTCCTTGATATTCAATTCCACGACCTTCATAAATTCTACCATCACCACCAATAAGATAGTTGTAAGGAATATCATCAAGACCAGAATTTTGAATTTGCATTGACTTAACAGTTGAGATGCAGTTAGTCTTGAATTAAGAAATTTGAATTAATGGCTTCATGATTTTAGATTATCTTACTTTATTAGTACAGAACTGTCCAAGAGTCTGAGCAATGATAATTCTTTTGATAGGCATGCCTAACTTAGGAATTATTGATAAATTTATATTAATTGCTCCCCATTCTTCTCGAGTTATTAACGCATCAAAATCATATGGCTCAGTTGTAGTCTTTAAAGTTGTGAATTCTGTTACGGTTGTTTCATTTGAACGTACTGTTGTTGTGTCTGGAAATTAAACATGATTTTAAAAATTTATAAATTTAAGGTAGTGAAAATTTTACCCAATTTATCTCTTAGTGCAAAATAGACACTGACAGAAACTGAGGCAGTAGTACAGATTATTGCAATAATAAGTACCAAACTCCAGTAAATTTTACATCTTCCATATTTTTCAAACCGCCCAAATGTACTCTTCACCTTGAAATTAAACGAATTTATTGAAGCTGTTGTACTATCAGTTAAATCTGAAAAACTTAAGTATATAAATACTTTATCATTGAACTTAACCCAGATCAACTATTAACCAGTTTTCTTTGAATGATGATGAATATTATAAATCACATTTCCGACGTGAATTCCTTCACTTTCATCAAACTGTAGATTTGGAATTTTTTCAGCTAAAATATTTGAGTTATTTCCAAATTTTATTGCCAAATCTATATATTGACGATTAATATAATCAACAGCTTCTAAACTATCAACCGTTGATGAAATTGACATAATGCTCGAAATTTTAATCCAATCTTAATGAAATTCAAGTGAGTACTGAAAAGGCTATTGTTATTGAATTTTCGATCATTACTAATCTAATCAATTTAAAATTAGAAAGCGATTGTTTGAATTGCTCCTTTTAAAGACAGATTTGACTTTTACAGATATTTGATAAAACTTTTACTGCACCTTACATAAGTTTTAAAAAAAATTCACAAGGAATTATTTTTAAGAAGTTTTGAATTTTGATTAAGAACAATTTGCTTTGTAGAATTTTATAAAGTTATCAGAACTAAACTTATAACTCAGAAAAAAAGGCCAAAAATTAATTTTATCAATTTTATTATGTTTATTTTGACCCAGTCTTGTCTTATCAAACTTTATTGCTTTTATCGCTCCTTTTTTCTTGGAAATTTAATTTTTATATAAGTCAGCAATTTAAAATTTGCTAGATAAACATGTTTTAATACTAAATACATTTTGATGTCAAGTTCAACCAGATTCTTTTGCTCCAAATTTGCATTAAACATTTCAACAACAATCAACCAACGTAGGATATTCATAGCATCTAAATTAAATGAAATCTATTCGAAAAACGTGCATCGTTAATGAAATAAGCTTTGGGATCGTGCACTTATGACGTCCGAAAATAACGGTCATTTTTCAAAAGAGAACAATGGATTTCCAGGAATTTCTATTTCTTGCTGCTCCCCCCACCCCCTGGACATCATAAGTGAACGGCCTCTTTGCTGCTTTTGTCAGAAATTAAATATAGCTTGTAGACTCATTTTCTGTGGCGTATAAGTAGCGCATTTTGATATTTGATAGCTTATTTGATCTAATGTCTGTACATATTATGTTGTCTGTCATTTCTTTTTCTTCAGTCTCAGGGTTGGATTGGTTTTGATTTTGTCTTATACCTCCTGTCATGCAATATTGTTCCTTCTTTCCGTCACTGTTGAATAATATTGATAACTTTTATATTTTTGGAATACTAATTAAATTTGTTCAAGAAAATAGAAATAATCGATACTATTAACAGTATGTAATTAAATCTTTTTAGTTCATTAACAAATGTGGGAAGGCTTTAATTATAATAATTTTTCTTGTGATATTTTATTAGATGTGGTTTGAAGGCATGTTAATTTTTATGTGATTTGATTTGGAACTGTCTTAAATGTTCCTTATATAGTTTGATTAATACATACATCTTTAATTTGGTTGGGTGGCTCTTTGGCCTAGTTTTTATTTAATTTTCGAATTCAGAAAAGAGTTTATTTCAGTTTTATAAATAAAGTTCATACTGCTGTACTTTACTAATAGCTAAGAATGACTTGTTAAGTTCCACATTCTTGCGAGCTACTTCCGATCCTTATATCAATTTATGATAAATTTGCAGCTAGTCAAAAATATTTGAATTAAATTAAATTACACAAAAGCATTTTGTTACGAATACCTCAAATAAATCTTAAAGATTTTGCAGGCTAATGGTGGACATGGTAAAATTTATTGTGATTCAAACTTTTCTTTTAAATCCTCAGGTGCTCATAAATCTTTAAAAGTTTTGTTTCTTCTATTTTTTGTAAATCATACAAAAACTTATTTTATGTTTGCAGAATCAACAATGTGGACATCTTTGAATCCAACAAAATGATTTAAATTCATGACATTTCAGCCATTTAACCAAATATTTAGTTTAAGATGAATTATGAAAATTTATAGCTGAATCTAATTAGTATGCAATGTGCCTCATTAATATTAACAAGCAAATATCTGAAAAACGATTTATGGAGTGAGATGAAATGAATAAGAATTATCATGAACAGCATAAGAAGAAATGTAAATAATTAATTAATACCAAGTTAGTTTGAGAGCATCAATTCTTTTACTTCCATTTCCTGTCATGATAATTTAGAAATTTTCTTCTTGATTTTTTAAATAGCTGCTGATTTAAGTTGTAGCTTGAACTTTCAATATCTTTCGATCAAATTCAATTAAGATTGTTATCATTGTCATGTTAAGTTCCATCATCATTAAAGACATGTCACTGTAAATCTTCTGATAGCCCGCAGCAAAATTTTGTAATTCCAATACAGATTCTTGTGGGTGTGGGATTTCTCATATATTTTATTTATCATTGCAATATCAGGAAGTAATACTAAAAGCGCGCAGTTGCTATAAACAAGATCTTAGCATTTGAAGAGATGGAAAATGTTTTTTGACCTAAATTTTTATGAAGAATTTTAGAAGCTGGATTATTTGATGGGGGATCAAAAAGGGAACTTTGGTGTTAGTTTGTCGAACTTGACATTTCGGTACGTTCAATGAGCTTTTCTTATTTAGATTGATTTTTTGAAATAATCAACGTAAAGTCCAGAACTCGAAGGGCACTGAATAGTGAGAGTTTATTTTTAAGATCCACAAAAGACGCTCATAACCTTTCAATCTACCAAATAATCCCACCCAACTTTCATATTTTGTATGTATTTTATTTCTCTTTTGGGAAAATACATCAAGTAGCACAATTTTCTCATAAATTTCCTCTGAAACAAATGCATTTCAATCTACAGCTTCCATCAGTCCCTGTCGACTACATAAGTTGTAAGTTCAATCCGATTATGTTGAATTGGACGCTCTCCATACTTGCCACTATAATTCTCTACTTTTTTTTGTTTATGTTCTTAATTCCCTCGTTTAATTTTTTACATCAACATCAGTAGCAGCAGCAATAGCAGCTTATTGAAGCGTATCACATAACACAGAGAAAAAGTCAAGAAAATAAAAGAAATTTTTCTCACACGAAACAAGAAAATGTTCATCTATTTTTGGTGCAGCAATAAAAACAATGATTAAAATCAATAAATAATTTAAGAAGTCATAAAGTAAAAATTAGATCCATATGGTACTTGATGATGGGTGCATTTTTCATTGTTTTGAGTGTTTAAATTAATGTTTATAGTTTAGTTCCGTAGAATTTTTTTATAGGTTTTGTAATTGAATTATATGTAATTGTATTAAAATTTGACGAGTTACAAGAAGCTATGGTTGAGGATTTTGCATGTCCAGCTTTAAAAGATCGTCAGAGTAAGGTAATTGAAAATTATTGGTACCAGAAGATAGAGTTTTCTCTTATGCTAGCCCTTAAAAGGAGTTACGTCATAAAATATCGACTTTTAAGAAAAAGTGAATAACCTCAAAAAATTTCCAATTCATTAAAATATTCCTTAAAATTTCTTTACATTATCTTATGCAATAAATATTCACGGTTGATTGTTCTCCTTAGCAATAAAAAATTCGCATTAAGAAGAAAAAAGTTTTCCGGCATCACAAAAATCGAGTTTTCCTTTTTTTCGATTTTTCACTCTCTGGAGAAAAACATTTTCACTCTCTTTTTTTCATAACTTCGTAAGTGCATGTCTCCTCTCCTTGTCTAAAAACCCGAAGAGCAATTTCATTTCCGAGAGAGTGAAAAAAAAAATATTTCCGTAGTAAAAGAAATACAATTTTAAGTTCGGGAGGGAAATTTTATCGATTTTCCGAAGCCATGTTATCCTGGTTGCTCCTTTAATGCTCCATTTTATAGAGAATTTATATTTATTTTGTCGGTGACTCTCATCCTCTGAAAAAAAATTTTTATAAATTTTTGAAAAAGGGGTTGAAAATTGCACACAAACACATGCAAATGTGAGTTCTTCATAAACAATACGATGAAATTTAATAATGTAGCACAAGAAAATGAAAAGCAGATATTCAATCAAGCACGCAACTGTCTGATACGCGACTAGCGTCCATTGACATCAACCAGTGACAAATTCTTTATTTATAAAACTTTTTAATTCTATTTTGCGTGCCTAGATGTTCAGTATGTGGCTATTCAAAAATGATGTTTAATTTAAAGAGAATTTTGTTTTTTTTTTTTATTCTGATATGATTTTTTATTCAGATTTGATTGAACATCATTTATCATCAAACCCCATTCAACAATTATTACGTTTCATGACTTGAAATTTTTATTAGACTTGGACACATTTCATGATAGGATTTCTATAAAGTCATTAGATATAAAATGAATTAAATTGAACATGGGGTGACAGCTATGAATGTGAAACCATCATTAGATCATAAATGAAAGATTATTCAGTTCTGTATTTGGATATAAAGAATAAAACACAGAACAGAATTGAATAGAACAGTAAATGTAGTAAAAGAAAATGAAGTTTAAAAAATAAATAAAAAAGAGTTCAAAAAAAAATTTTTTTAATCACATCTTTTTCGTCATTTGTCATTCAGATGGACGTTTTTATTCCCAAGTTGTGTATGTCATTCATATATCTTCATTAATTTGTGGAAATTTTTGGATACATTTGTTGTTGCAATACATTTTTGAGTAAGAAAAATAAATTGTTGAGTATAATTTGAATTTTTGAGTTGACATTAAGCAGGTTTTTGGATAAGGTTCTGACTTGCAGATGCTGTTATTTACGACAGGATGATTGTTTTTATTCATTCATAAATTTTGATGAAATTATTTTTCTTTGAATAAATTTGTGGAATAGTAAAAAAAAGTGCATTGAGTATTTTAAAATTTAATTAAAGAGAACCCCCCCCCCCCCTTCCTCTCACTCTCATTATATCGCACCCAAAAGCCCTCAAGCCCTCTCTGCAGCATCCCAAAAAATTTGTCCAATTTAATAACATTATCATTCAAAATAACATATATTCCACAAAAGATTCCAATTAAATTTCAAAACATCAACAATAATGCCCATCAACGTCTTCAAAGAAAATTGCGCGCCAATCTTTTATTTTCTTTTCATCCATTGTCGAGCTATTTTCTTTTGTTTGGTTTTATTTTGTGACCATGTTTAAAATCCAACATGTAAAAGACTTGTTTGTTAAAGCAAAAATATGTTTTCAGTCTTCACGTATGTGTTTTTCATCTTATTCAGTCAGTGCGCAATGATTTGCGTACTTCTGCAACGTTGCCAGATTTCATTTGTTTACGGTTG